GAATTCAAGTGATCACTGAAACGATGTTTTATGAATTATAGGAATTAGAAAATGGGTTATTAGTGGTGGAATATAAACCGAGTGAAGTGGGCTTACATCGGTTAACGATCACGCATAACGGTAAAGAGATGAACGGAAGTCCGATCGATTTCATTGCTGAATATTTGCAAGAACAACCACCACTACGAAAAGAGTCGCAACGACCAGTAGTGATCGTCGAAGGTCCAGGGTTTGAGCGGCCCGTTGCCGGTCAAGCTTCTCAGTTTGTGATCAGCACTAAGAATCGTACCTCACAACGAATATCCGTCAGAGTAGAAGGGGTGGCAAGAGCTAAAATTGTTACTCACAATGAAGCGGTATTTTGCGATCATTCATTGATACAGTTTCAGTGATTTGTTCACATATTTAGTCATTTATCTATTTATCTCATCAAACACTTATTTTACTCGTGGATTTGTAAGCATCGAAAATGAAAATAATAGCAATGCTGATAAGGAACAGTAATAAAAACCACAATATTGATAAAAATAGCGTCATTGCAATTAATAATTTTTGAATTTTAACTAGTAGAGTGTTGAATCGCACTTGAAATGTTGCAGAACGGTGCATGTACGGTGAGATGGACTGCACCGATTCCAGGCGAATATTTGGTTCATATTAGGATTAATGAAGAGGAAGTGAAAGGGTCGCCGTTCCGAGTGAACGTCACCGGTGAAGGATTCAAACGTACCTATGTGTCGGTTGAGACGACCACCGAGGTTATTTTCAATTAGTGTTTTATTCATTCACTCACGAGCTTTTTAATTCCACTTTCGACTGATTCGTCAGCCAACCAAAGTTAGACATCTATTTTTCCTCTCACTGTTGAAGGAGTGTTGAATGGAACGAAACTAGCCCGGAAATGAGCATCAGATTAGAAGTATTCTTCGCTTCTTCTGCTTCAGAATTTATCCAGAGTTGATTGAGATGACACAGTCGATTTTACTGAACAACTTGTTTCTAGACACATGTCAGACCAGTTTTATGCGTTCATCTTGAAAAAATACACGCGGTTATTGTTAATCACACAACTTGAATGAATGAATGAATGAATGTCTTTATTTGTGACGGAGGGATGTGTGGCGAGGGACAGTGAGTTTGT